TTAGCTGTGAATACATTTATTTTAAAAATCAACATTATATTCAGTGAAAAAAGCAATAAGGAAAATGAGTTGGAAAGTTCATAAGAGTAGATGTCTACAGAGGACAAACATCCACCTCAGCAGAACTCTTCAAAAACAACGGCTTTGAAATCTGTTGGAACTCTAGTCCCTCACATGGGTTAGATGTGTCATCCTTGGTTAAGTCAATTAATTCCTCTAAGCCTGATTATTTTACCTGCAAAATGGGTAACAGTGTCTTCCTCTCTGAGCCGGATTGAGAATTAAATGAGATAACCCATGGAAAGCACTTAGTAAAGCATAGTAAACACTCAATAAATGGTTCCTATTACTAGATGACTTTATCATCCCTTCCAATTCCCAGATTTCATGATACTAACTTTGGCACCATGAAATTTAAGACAAACTTGAACTCCAGCTACAATAATATAATCAATAAATTAAACCTTCATTTTAATTTCAGAATACTAAAATAGTTTTGTTTAAAATACATTCATATCTAATGCTTTCTCCCCACTATTATAAAAATAAAACCCACAATTATCAATAAAAGCTAGTCTATTATTAGTCATAATCTTAAATCCAAAATTCACTTGTATTTTAGAACTAAAATGAAAACAGAGAAATGTCTTAAAAGTGCTAAAAATAGCACTGTAAAAAATTGCTTACTTTTATTTCCAGAATATTCTCTATATTTTTAAATGTACTTTTCAGAAATGGCATGGAGTTGAAAATAGCTACTATTGGGTACTTTAACATGTTTGCAATTTCTTTTAAATCAACAAGTATATAATAAAATCAATCAACAACAGGCTCTTCAGTTATTCATTACTACTCTTTTCCAATGATAGTTACAGGTCTTTCCTTTTCCACTTGTTTCTCATTTGGCTGAAGAATAAGAATCTTCTCTAACATTCAACATCCTGATGCACAAAGAAGCTCTAAAATATTCTCACTTTTATCCAGATTTAATTGTTCAATATCCATTCACCCCATTAATTAGAATGTAATCATATATAACAAATAATATATTATCATAGATTTTAGGTTTCTTCTAAAATAATTTTATTTTTTCTCTTTCTTCCAGAAGGAGTCACTATACCCTGCTTATAGAATGATCACTTTCCCCAATCCACTTTTTAAAATAATGTATGTACACAGGGATTCTTCATTATACTAACAAAGTAAGTTTATAAATACATTAAAATCCACTGTGTATTTTGGACACTGAAAACAATCAGATCTTGAGCTTTGTAGCTGCCTGGCTCTTGTACTAAGTACTGTGGTCAATGTTTCCTACTATATTTTTTTCCTTCCATATGGTAAAAACTATGCTTTTAGTTTAGAAATCTAAATGTTATTACTCGTTAGCAAGTTTTCGTTCCCGATGGTGGGGCTGTGCTCTTGTGGGTGTCTCTCTCTGCCTTCAAATTGTGAGCATTTACAAAGGAAAAGGAGAAAGAATTGTAATTAGGTGGCAACATGCTCTCATTTTTATGCATGAGTTAGCCTGTAACCTTGGTTTTCATTTTTTGCTGTGTACCTGGCCAGGTTTCTACATTCTTCTAGAACTCTTTGTAGTTTTCACAAAGTCATGACCTAAACACGATATGTACCATGGTTATTGCCCCTCATCACTAAAGTTATGGGTGGATGGGCCAGACTGTGTATTCTTTTATAATGGCAAGTCTAGGATACTATTCTAGCTGATAGTGGAAGATAAAATATCTGAAATACTTTTACATTTTCTAATGAAGATAAAATTCCAAAAGGCTAAAATAACTGTCATTACAAAGAACGTCAAAGAGGAATACCTGAGAGGCCAAGGAGGGTGGATCACAAGGTCAGGAGGTCGAGACCATCCTGGCTAACATGGTGAAACCCTGTCTCTACTAAAAATGCAAAAAAATTAGCTGGGTGTGGTGGCGGACGCCTGTAGTCCCAGCTACTCAGGAGGCTGAGGCAGGAGAATGGTGTGAACCCGGGAGGTGGAGCTTGCAGTGAGCCGAAATCCTGCCACTGCACTCTAACCTGGGTGACAGAGCAAAACTCTGTCTCAAAAAATAATAATAATAAAAAATAAAACATAAAGATGAACATCTTTTCTTCATAAATAATTGACTTAGCTATCTATAAAGACACTAACTTTATATTTGTTTATTTGTCTACTTATTAATAGTTTTCCCAATGAGATAGTAAGCTCCATGAGGGCAGGGACTGTATCTGCTTTCTCACTGCATTTTTCACCTGCAGCTTAACACAGTGTCTTGGTGTTACCTAGGAATCTTTAAATAAATATTTGTTTTAAAAAATGAGTAAGTAGCATATCAAGTGTTACCATTCTCTATCATGGTAAAATCTAATTAAATAGGATATAGACATTGCTCAAAATTTTGACACCTTTATAACTTTCTCTTTAATTTCACAGGAAATATATGTATCTTTAATTTTCAGGGGATGAAAATGAACATTTATTGTGTCTGTTGTGCATTAGGCACTCAGGCACTGTACTAGATTCAATGCTTTGCAGAAACTCATATTTAAACAGTATCATATCATCTTACAATCAAGTTTTTAACACATAAATAGGTCTATTCCTACCTCTACCATTGACTATGTCACTTTGGGAATTCTTTTAATTTCATGCACAGAACTAAAAACAAAAATTTAGTAAGTAAGAATTTAATATTACTAATATAATTAACTCCTCTCTTGTGAGGAACTGTTATGGAACAAAGTTTTCCACTTTGGAGTTTTCCAGATTTACCTCTTTCAACACAAATGTTTTTCCTAAATTTCAACTATTTTAATGAAAATATTTTTAAGCATAGTATTTGTAACTGTATGGTCTCAGCCAAAATGTTTGGAGTATGAATCTATTTTTTTGGATATCTCAGATAAGGATAGTGGTAAGGATAGCAGAGTGGTTAAGACCAGAGGTTTTAGAACCAGACTATGTAGGCGGAAATTCTGGCACTACTGCTTACTAGCTGTGTGATTTTAGATAAGTTAACTTCCTTGAGTCTGTTTCCTTGTCTGTAAAATAAGCATAATCCTAATATCTACATTTTAGGGCAGTCTTGAGGATCAAATGACGACATATGCAGAGTGCTTACCATACAGATGATGCGAGGCAAATAGTAAGTGCTCAATAAATGCTAGCTAAAAAAGTTTTAATTTATTAAGGTACTGAGCACTTGGGTGAGCATGCACTTTTTCTATATCATAGAAAATGACCCCAAACTGCTATTAAAAAAAATTATTCTTATATAAATTTTCCTTATAGATTTTGTTATCTATATAAAGTTTTGTTGTTCTGTTTCTTACCTTAATCTTATTTGTTAATTGATGCCTTTATAGTACCCCCTTCTTCTAATTTGAAGCTCTACTGTGGGCTGAGAAACCAAAACACTGTATTGGTTAGAAATGTGTAAGAAGATTCCTCAGCAAAGGGCCTCAGGGGTTCTTCGAAGAGCAAGGTACATAAGTCACATCTATTTCCACTTAGAGGCCTTTCTGGATTACTTATTGTGTTCTCAGTTGTGTTTGGGAAAGTTGGAAATACCAAATAAGTGACCTAAGGATTAATGAGGCACTATTGTTCTAATTCTGTCAAGCATTAGATTAATCAAAAACAAATGAAAGGTTGATTTCTTCCTGTTTTGCACTGTTAATTTTCTACAATTATTAATCAGCTACCAATGTAATTATTAAACTTTTAGTCCAAACAATGTTTTTAGTGTAATACCTGAATCAATACACAGATCCTATATTACAAACCCCATTTTAAAACTTGAGTATTACTAATTGTGCTATTATACAAAGCCCAAGCAAAATAAAATGTTTCTGTGTGATTCAACCCATAGTTCTTATGTGGAGGTTATCGAGTCAATGAAAGGGAAAAAACATGAATCGTCAAAAGGGCTAAATGAAATAACAATCAATGGATAAAGTAAAAAGAGAGTAAAACAGAAATTGTTAAGCTCATGAAATCGAAATAAAAAGAAATGGAAAGATTACAGACTAACAAAGAAAAGTAAGGAAAAATTTACCAACTTTATTCCCAATCCCTAAGTGAATAAAGTGTTTCCAATTTAATGTTCAGTTTAGTAGCACCTCTACTTTTTTAACCCTACTGGGAAGGCATGAGAGAGACTCTGATAAGAAAACCATGTGCATCCGTGATGATGAAACCTTCTGCTCAGGTGGCCACATGCCGGAAGAGGCACAGTGGATCCCCACACTTAGGAAATCTAGGCCTGAGCCAGAAACTGGCAGCTATCAGGCCAAAACATTTATATTTTATGTCTTATCTTAAAAATTCATATATATTTTGCATTTCACTCTGTTACATACTATGGAATTTTGAATATAAAAATAATGTTTCTAACAACTGAATTATTTAACTACTCTCATTCCCAAATATTCATGTAAAATTGATGCTCCAGGAAGATTCGCACTGTGGTTCTTGTGGCTTTCCCTTCCACTTGAGCAATACCAATATAGTCAGGGGTATGTGAGAAGCACAGGTGAGATGGTATCTTATTATAATATGATGAGCTCAAGGGTCTCAAATGATCCACAGAAAACTAATAATCCAATAATCATTAAATGAAAGTTTCAATTCTCATGTAAATCAGTAAAGCTAAAAAATCCAAAAGAATGGTATAAACTAGGCCCTGAAATCTTAAAATGCCCTCTTAGCTTTTGAGCTACAGTTTTTATAAAAAGATCAATAATGATGTCTTCCTGTTCCAATATGGAATTAGTGTCTCCCTAAATACATTAACTTCAGAAGTATTGAATTACCAAGGAGGATCAGCACCACAATGAAACAAATAGTTGTTCTTTGCAAACTAGTGATTACCAGTAAAGAAAACCCACCAAAGGCTGCTGGATACAAAATGACAAAAGGCAAAGATGTCAGGACAAAAGATAATAAAGTATGGTAGTCACCCAAAATCCAGAAGGATAACACTCACCCTCATCCTGATAATCTGACAAAAAGTGTGCGTCGGATGTGAGGGACAGGCCAAGAGTCCCACTGTGATTATCATCAGAGCTGTCCTGTCCAAAGTCTCCTCCTGAGGGACAAAAAAGAGAGAAAATAAGGTCAACCTTTGGACATCCTTATAAAAGGATACATCCTTGGTATGGTACTGGAAGAGATCTATGTATGATCATAAAAAAAAAAGAGATTATCTTTTACTCAATGATGAACATGGCCACTATCCATTAACATATGGGAAACAGTTAAACAACTTCAAGAACCAACTTACCTGGATGAAAAATTTTCCACTCAAGTAACTCTGTCACTAAAACTTAGGAACTGTTAGCTTAGAGTGGGAATACCTCTTGCCACCAGAAAGAAATTTATCTATCATACTTAAAATAAAAACATAGCTATATAAATTTATATTCAGCCAGGCATGGTGGGTCACGCCTGTAATCCCAGCACTTTGGGAGGCCCAGGCAGGTGGATCACCTGAGGTCAGGAGTTCAAGATCAGCCTGGCCAATATGGTGAAACCCCATCTCCTTTTCTCAAAAATTAGCAGGGCGTGGTGGTGGGCGCCTGTAATCCCAGCTACTCAGGAGGCTAGGGCAGGAGAATCGCTTGAACCCGGGAGGTGGAGGTTGCAGTGAGCCAAGATTGTACCATTGCACTCCAGCCTGGGTGACAAGAGCAAGACTCCATCTAAAAAAAGAAAAAAATTAAATTTATATTAATATACTATGTCTCCCTGCATGACTCTATTTCAAGTGAAATAGGACTGACGCAAAGGTTTAACCTTCTATACATGATATAATATAGCAAGCTCAATAGTCTTTCTCTGAAAAGCAAGAGAGGTATAAAAATAGAGAGAACCTAGACTTTGCTGGACTGTATTCCTATTTGTTCTACAACACTAACAAAGTTTTTTCTTTGTAATTCTAGTTTACAGCCTAGGCAACTGACCTCTTAGGAATTCTAAAAGCCCTAAGAAGATAATATTTGTTCTGTAAAATGGCTTTGATAAAAGGTAATGTATATACAATACTGAATTATGCAATTAATGCTAATCTCTTTTGTGTGTTTTCAATATACATTGGATTGTATTCTGTAGAAATGGCCAATGTTATTTTGATACTTTAAAAGGTTCAGACAGAAGATGTTAGCTCATTCAGAAACCGGAAGAAAAGGCTCTGTATTGCAAATGACTTTGCTTAAAATCCCCCAAATAGAGGTACAGTCTGCTGATAAAAGGATACCGACAGCTGCTTATTTCATTTCACAAACATGAAAATAGGATTTTCAACTGAATTTAATATTATCTCAAATACTAATTTCCAAAGGAAATCACCAATGCTAATCTCAGTAAATACTGTAGAGTTTTGGCCTTGGATTTCAACTAGGGAGCTGTGAAACCAAACAACCTACATAGACTCTGTATTGCCTCACTTTAAAGGTTTATTTCCTGCAATTAAACTAGAAAACTAGGGAGGTTATAAAATGATAAAAAGAGAATGGCTGTAGCCTTCTCTTTCCATAAATTAGATGATCATATCTAGACTCTTCTTCAAATGCTGTATGGTAGGTAGATGTCCATAACTGAGTTGAACACCTACAAATATAGGACTTTAGAAATAAACTATAAAGTTTATTATGGAAAAGATAAATAAAAATTGTAGAAAACTCACACAATAGTCATTGGCCAAAGCCAGAAGAGTTACTCTCCTTTATTAGTTTACTTATCAGGATACAAAGTTTATAGCTATGCTTACAGCATCACTGTGTAATTTCCATAATAACCAGAAAAATTCTCAAATACTGGACTGAGGATTAAAATGCTCAAATTTTACATCATTGGAAGTCCACTAAAATTATATTACCAACACAATCTAAATGGACTGCCTGGCTAGTAACCTGAAAGTGAGCTGCAAGGTTAAATGGAATTTTTATTTTAAGCCAAATAAAAATCCTTAAAAATAAAAAAAAGTACTGGAATTGCCAAGCAAAATTTAACTTTTGTAGTATATACTGAACATTATTTATAAACATTATTTATAAACTAGTTTTCTGCTTAGTTCAAAAATGTGGCAAATCTACCATTAAAGAAAAAGAACCTAGCCAAGCCAGTAGCTCACGCCTGTAATCCCAGCACTTTGGGAGGCCAAGGCAGGTGGATGATTTGAGCCTAGGAGTTCGAGACCAGCCTGGACAACATGATGAAACTCTGTCTCTACAAAAAGTGGAAAAATTAGCCAGGCATGGTGGCTTGTGCCTGTGGTCCCAGCTACTTGAGAGGCTGAGATGGGGGGATTGTTTGAGCCAAGGAGGTAAAAGCTACAGTGAGCCATGACTATGCCACTGCACTCCAACCTAGACAACAGAGTGAGCCCTGTCTCTAAAAAAAAAAGAAAAAAAGAAAAGAAAAGAAAAAAGAAAAAATCACATTCTAAGCTTTTTTTAAAAACATGCATATCAGGAAGGGTTTTTTTTTTTTTTTTTTTAGTGAACTTTTTATTTTGGAATAATTTTAGATTTATGTAAGTGTTGCAAAGATAGTACAGAGTTCCTACACACCCTTCCCCCAGTTTCCCCCAATGTCAACTTCTTACATAATTGAGGTCTATCTGCCAAAACCAATAAATTAACATTGGTATATTGCTATTAACTAAACTACAGACTCTATTTGGATTTCACAAGTTTTCCATTAATGTCCTTTTTCTGTTTTAGGATCCAATCCAGGGTATCACATTGCCTTCACAGCCTCAGTTTTTAAAGTCTTACCCAAAACACCTGCCTGAGTTTGGCACTTGCTTTCCTAACTTCAGATGGAAAAGTCACTTCCACATGATTCCTATGGTTTCTGAGTATAGTCACCCAAGGTGTGCTTTCAACAGCCACCCCTGGTGTCAAACACGAGACAGTTCCTCTGTAAAGTACTCAACGACAAAGATATACAACTCAATGCAGCAAAACAGAGCCTAGGTCAGTAGTACAAATGGTTGTGGTGCAGGAACATTTAGAAATAAGCTTTACACCCAAGTGCAATTAGTTCCTGATGATGGAGATGTTATTATAAGTGTTCTTAGTGTCATATCAAGTGACCCAGTTCCCTTGGGCACACACAGAAACAAGGCTATAGCACCATATAAATAGACACTCCCGTGTAATTGAAATGATTACAACTACTGAGGATGCATGGGTGAAAAGTTTTATAGAAGAACAGCAATTACTGTGGTCATTTTGGATTTGTTTAAGTTTAAGAACATCATTTTTCTTTAAAACATAACCGTACGTGTTCTCTGGATTTGTCTATAGCTCTGACAATTGTAGTTCCAAATGGCCACAACTGTAGTCCAGTGGGATCAGACATAAATGATCACAAACTATAGTGACAGACATTTCCACTCAGCAGCTCTACAATTAGGGCTTAGAACTCCATCTGCTTAGAGTGGCTTTCTCACAAGCAAGACCCTTTGCCACTGGAGACACACTTTCCCTCTGCAACTCCAGCAGAATCAATATATTTCTATACAGATATATATTTTAACACACCATATCTCCATTAATCACATCCACTACCTTCAGTCCTTTCTCTTTGTATTTCTAAACAAGATCTGGTGGAACTATATCAAGGGTTCACCTGCTATTAGCAGGTAATTTGCTCCTATAGCCTAAGTGTCATAAGAATCGCGCATTAGATACACTCCTTGGCATATTCAATGGCAGGTCCTCCACCAAGTACGTGCTGAGGGGCCCATAAGCGGGATGATTTCTCTATTCTTTTTTTCCGAGAGTCAAACTCAATTTCATTCATGCTCTACAGAGTGATAAGTTGGGAATTTCTGAGGGTTGGAGCAGAAAGATAAAGCAGCTTTGTGTCAGGTGTAAGGTAATTATTTCCTAGGGTTTCTGTGCTATTTGTTTTTATTCCCTGTGTTTTCATTAACAGTTAATGAGCTTTCCCCCTTAATTCTGAAACAATAGGCTTGGCCACTAGAAGTTGGCTTTTTCTGCCACAGATTCAACCAGCTGTTGCTGCTCCATAAACTTTATGGAGAAGTGAATTAAACTGCTAAAACTTTCATTTACTAATTCAATTCCAAATAAAACAGGGAGAAAAATGAACCATGATGATGTTCCCCTTGTAACTATTTTAGTTCACAGCAAATCCATTTAGTCCTGAATTTGCAGGTACTATTTTGAGACAAAAACAGGCCATAATGACAATTTTACCAGATAAATGAGAAAGAAATGAAAAAAGACAGAAAATGGTTTAAGCATTAAAAAAAGTGAGAAAATAACAAATAACAGAAAAAATATATAAGTTTGCTTATTCAATATGTAAAGGCTCGATTTTTTATGTTAGTCTACGTCATCATCTTTTATTTCTCTTCAAATTAATTGTGAGCTATATTATAAAAACTCTACTCATATTTGCAACCAACTGTTTATATGGCGCGGTTAAAAACTAGGGTTTGCAGCCGGGCGTCGTGGCTCATGCCTGTAATCCTAGCACTTTGGGAGGCCGAGGCAGGCAGATCACCTGAGTTCAGGGTTTGAGACCAGCCTGACCAACATGGAAAACCCTGTCTCTACTAAAAATACAAAAAATTAGCTGGGAGTGGTGGCACATGCCTGTAATCCCAGCTACTCGGGAGGCTGAGGCAGGAGAATCGCTTGAACCCGGGAGGCAGAGGTTGCAGTGAGCCGAAATTGTGCCATTGCACTCCAGCCTGGGCAACAAGAGCGAAACTCCATCTCAAAAAAAAGAATGACAACAACAAAAAACACTAGGGTTTGCTATTACTTCACCAAGTATCTCTGGATTATATAAGGAAATTGAGATTAATTTAAAATTGAAAAATTTAAAATTACTGTTGTTGTTGGAAGGGAACACATGACTTCCTATTCTATTTAATATTTAAGATCCTGTAAGAAATACAGCTCCCTCCTTAAACTAATAAATTCTCACTAAAATGCTATAAATGAGGCTCCCTGATCCAAGTCCAGTTAGTTTTCATGCTTGATAGCATTAATACTGCCAGATTTTCATGGGCCAATTTAATAGTAATGCAGCTCCCAAAGCTGAACT